ATGATAGGCAATATAGAACTGGGCCAAGCCAGGCAGTGGTGGTGCACACCTTTAATCTCAGCACTTGGGAGGCAGAGGCAGGCGGATCTCTTGAGTTTGAGACCAGCTTGGTCTACAAGAGTGTGCCAGGACAGGCTCCAAAGCTACACAGGGAAACCCTGTCTCAAAAAAAAAAAAAAAAAAAAAATCTATAACAGGGCCAAAGATGGCTAGTGCCGAGGGCTTCAGCCAGATCATGAGCTCAAATCCCTGAAGGTTTTACGCTACAGTCTGCACAGTTCCGTGTGTCCCGGAAGTTTCAGTCCTCTGTCAAATGGTTTTACGTGTATTTCAGCATATGCATCTTAGCACCACAGGGTCTGAACATTTACCCAGGCCTTGTCATTAGGTTTTAGGGTGTTGTGTGTTGCATGGGTCAGTTGAAGAAAGAGGTCGTTCCAAGATGAAATTTTAAGGCCTGTGTGGCAACAGGAAGGTCCAGCCTCTGATGAACTGAACCCTATTTACTGATTGTTACACATAGTTGTTTGTCATACCAAGGTTCTATATCTAATCTGTATGTCCCTCTGAAGAAAAACCTCACATGCCCTCATGACTTCAGTCCTTTACTGTGTGCATTTGCAATACACAACAAGCCAAGAGCCTCGGGTGTGCCAGAGGCGGCTTGTGACCAAAGTCATAAGGCTGCAATGCCCCTTCAGAAAACAATTCTACAAATCAAGGAAAACAATCAGTTTTCCAAAAAGATTCTCCAAGGTCAAAGTACTTCTAGAAAACAACTGTTCACTCTGTTTACCCTGGATAAGGTGAAAACTATTCATTCTAATATTTACCCTGGATACAGTGAAAACTAATCATTCTATTGTCTACCCCAGATACAACAACTCTGGTAATTCCTACAACAATCTGGCACCAGCCACACTGCTTGTCTCACAGGAATTAGAGGCCATGGGTGGGGGTTGAGTTACTATGTTCACATGATTTCACTCCTTGACACTCTAGTAACCACAGTATTAATTCCTAACTGTGTTGTCTTCCTGATACACAACTGTGAATCCACCACAATGAACAGCAACCTAATCTTTCTAATGGACATATTACTACCTAAAATGCTGCTAGCCAAGGGTAGATCACACCTGCAACCCCAACACTCAGGAGGCCGGGGCAAAAGGATTGCTCAAGTTCCAGAACAGCCTGGGGTACCTAGTAGTGTTTTCCAGGCTCGCCTGTACTGCCAGATGTGACCATCTTTCAAAAATAATAATAATTTAAAATATATTTGCAGTGCTTTTACTTTGAAAATAATGACCCTCCCAACCTGTACCTCCCCCCAGTCACCAGTGAGCCCTGGTCAAGCTCCTGCTGCTGCTAGATTTTGTGCACTGCACTTTCTCTGCTAACTTCAGCTCAGCAGAGACAAAGTTCCCTGAACTCCAGGGCAAAAAGGAACACATTCCGAAGACCTCCAGGGAGCATCTGAAGGCCTGATGGATGTGAAGACAGAGACTAAAGACTTGCCAAGCCTAAGGACTGCATTAGGGAAGCCCGTGGTGGAAGGAGGAAACCAGGTCCTGAAAGCTGACCTCTGACCTCCACATGTGAGTGTGGTATGCATCCTCCCACTTTAAGTAAACATATGTAACTTCTTTAAAGAATTACAGACCCAGTCTACTTTGTTTTGTTTTGGGTTTTGAGACAGGATTTCTCTATTGTAGCCAGGGCAGTCCTGGAACTCACTCTATAGACCAGGCTGGCTTCGAACTCAGAGATCCATTTGCCTCTGCCTGCTGAGTGCTGGGCTTCCTGCTGGTCAGTTTCGTAAATATCATCACTGTTAAACTTGCTGTCATTCATCTTTGCTCTAAAACGACTTCCTGATTCAATGGAGGCTTTACTGCTAAAATGGAAGAGGTTAATCAGTTGCCTGCAAATTAAAACTAGCCATGAACAAAAGTTTACAATTTAGAGAGATCACATGACCCACAAAGTTTGAGTTTTGTGATACATTCCAAAGAAAAAAAGAAATCAGTTCCTGTTCATGTGCTGTGTTGTTGGATATCTGTGATTCCTGATGCTGGGAAAGGGTAAATGACACGATGACAAGTCACATTAAAAACGGGATGAAAGTAATTGGCCTTGGGGAGGTTATACATGTGAACAGCAGTGCACCAGCTAAACAGACTGGAGGGTGACGGTACATCAAAGAGAAATGATCATGGCTATCCATCAACAGTGCCCAGGGGCAGGCCAGAGAGCTGGAAATCTGATGACACTAGTTATTAAAAACAACCACAGCAGCGCATTTATAAATGAGCTAAATAGAACTCGACAGCTTTCACCCAAGTTGCACCTATTGGGCACAGGGGTGCTGCACTCCAGCTGCAGGCCACACAGTCTTCAGCAAGACTTGTGGTATTTGTATTCAGCATGTGGGATTTTTATTATGGAGACCATGTGCCAGGCGATAGAGCAAGTCTTTCTACATTTAAAATCATCTAGGCAACATTCACCAGAGTAGAATTAAAATAATTTTACAGTGCATTTTAGAAACCTGCAAATATTCAGAAATTAAGCATGCTAACGTGTGGGTCAAAAAGTTCATTCCCCGGGGCTGGAGAGATGGCTCAGAGGTTAAGAGCACTTACTGCTCTTCCAGAGGCCCTGAGTTCAATTCCCAGCAACCACATGGTGGCTCACAACCATCTGCAATGAGATCTGGTGCCCTCTTCTAGTGTGCAAGCATGCATGCAGATAACTGTATACATAATAAATAAATAAAATCTTTAAAAAAAAGATTTTAATTTTAAAAAAAAGTTCATTCCCCAATGAACTACAAATAATTGGTCTGAACGAGGGGCTAGGGAGGTACTTCAGTCTGTAAAGTGCTTGACATGAGGACTTGGGGAAATATGGGTATGTCTGCATGTACTTGTCATCCCAGCACAAGGGAGGTAGAGATAAGTGGGTCCCTAGGCTAACTGGCAAGACAGCTCAGACTAATTGAGCCCCAAGGCCCAAGTGAGAGACCCTGACTGAAGAAAGAAGCTCGTAAGGAACAACACTCAAGTGTGATCTCTGGTCTGTGTGTATGTGCACACACACACAAGTTCTCGGAAAATGACAAGTGGCAAAGGCAGGCTCAGATGAATGCAGCGAGAACCCGTCTCAAAAAAAAGGAGCTGTGCTTAAAAATGACTTTAATTAAGTCCTTAAACAGTAATAGGAAAGGGAGGCCTAAAACAGACCTAAATGTTTACCTCCAGGAACTAAAAAGAACAAAAGTAAACCCAGAGTGAAAAATCAAAGTAATGCAAACAGAAATAAAATGTAGCTTTTGGGATGCTTAGTGACTCTGGTCCACCTTTCCCTGGACTGACTGGGATAAGGGGCACCCTGCCCCTCTCAGAAGTGAAAAAGCAGTTGTCACTGCAGAGCCCACAGACCTGAGAATACACAGTCAGCCACAACAAGAGGGACTGCAGACACTGAAGGGAACAAAAAGGAGGGAAAGGACAGGGAAATGTTAGGAAGTGCTGTACACCAGAGTCAGTGACTATGGACCAGAGTGTATTCGTTAAGAGACAACCTGATCTTAAATTGAATCTAGGGCTGGAAAGTAAACTCAGTGGTTAAGATCATTTGTTTCTCTTGCAGAGGACACAGGTTTGATCCCCAGCACCCATGTGGTAGCTCACAACCGTCTGTTAACTCCAGTCTCAGGGGATCAAAAGTCCTCTTCTGACCGTCAAGGGGGCCAGGCACACACATGCACATATGATATTATATATATATATAAACACTCATGCATAAACACGTATTTCTAAGAAAAATTGAATTTATGGCCCGCAAGATACCTCAGTGTGTAAAAGCTCTTGCTGCACATGCCTGATGAGCCTGAGTTCAATTCTCAGAACCCACATAAAAAGCCAGATGCCATGCTTGTATCTGTAATCCCAGCATTCCTAAGGCAGAATGGGAGGCAAAGATGGGAAAATTTAGGAGCAGCAGAAAAAAAAAGATGACAGAGATGCTGCTTCAGATAAGAGTGAGCTCTGGCTTCAGTGAATGACCCCTCATCAAAAGATAAAGAGCAATGAAGGAAAACATCCAACATCAACTTTGAGGCTCCACACCATAATGTGTGAATGCATTTTTCTTTAGTTTACTGAAATGTAAGAGAAAAGGGATCACCTTTTATAAAGTGTACATTTGGAGATAGGATCTCACTGCATAGCTCGGCCTGGAAGTTGCTCTTTAAATGACCAGGCTGGCCTCGAACTCGCAGACGTCCACCTGCCTCTGCCTCCCGCTTTCTAGGATTAAAAGCGTGTGCACCACACCAAGTTGAGGTTTCACAATTACATCCCAAAGGAAATATACTTAAATGATGTACATGCCAGTGGGGAGGGGAGGAAGGGAAACTGGTGACTCAAGCAAAGGGTTAAAAAAAAAAGTCACAGCCAGGCATTGGTGGCGCAAGCACTCGGGAGGTAGAGGCAGGCAGATCTCTGTGA